AGCTGGAGCCCATGAGTGCAGGCAGCCCGCAGACGCTGCGCAGGTTCACCGTGGCCTACGGAGGGGGAAATCCTTGCCATCCTGTGACACGTCCCGGCCTTGGCCTTTTGAGACCCCCCGGGGCGGCTGCCAGGGTGCCGCGTCCCTTCCTCCATCTGAGGCGGACCTTTGGCTGTTACAAATGGTCACTTATTATTTATTACAGGAGGCCTGTGAGGAGGGCCAGGTGCGGCCAGCAGCAGGGCAGGCAGCCGGGACCGCTTCTGGAGCCAGCGTAGCCAGAAGCTCCATAGGAGGCCCCCCACAACTTTCCCTAGGATCCCTGCGGCCCTCGGAGATGTTCCAGGGCTTCCCCCATCCCCTTTATTCTTTTTCTTACGTGATTCGCTTTAAATAAAGAAAAAGGGACTAGGGTAGCTGGCATTGGTAAGGCTGTAAGTTTTTTATTTTGCTTATTTTAATTGTTATGGAGGTGAAACATAACATCAAATTAACCATTTAAAGTTACACAAGCGAGAATTGGAGGGACCTCGGCCAAGCATAAAAGATGACAACAGCAGCTGGGCCCACTTTCGAACCTGTGAGAGGCGGGAGAGGAAACGGAGAAGGTGACTTGAGCCAACTCTCAAAGCAGTATTCAAGTGGAGACCTACCCTCTCACAAAGATAAAATAGAGACAGACACTCAGGCTGCCCCTGAAGAGGTTCGGAACCGGGACTGCGGGAGAGAATTAGAAGAGAGAGAGTTGCCGAAACCGGTTTGGCTCAGTGGATGGAGCATCGGCCTGCTGACTGAAAGGTCCCAGGTTCGATTCCGGTCAAAGGGCATGTACCTGGGTTGCGGGCACATCCCCAGTAGGAGATGTGCAGGAGTCGGCGGATCGATGTTTCTAACTCTCTCTATCTCTCTCCCTTCCTCTCTGTAAAAAATCAATAAAATATATTTTAAAAAAAAAAAAGAGGAAGAGAGAGAGTTGCTGCGAGAGAAAAGAACAGGGGTCGTCCAACTCGAGGACCCACAAGCCCCTCTTCAGTGTCAAAGCGGCCTCGGTGAGACCAGACTCCTGCTGCCAACCTCGAGGCAGACGATCCTCTACCAGATGAGGAAGATGAAGATGAAGATTTTGAAGAGGAGAGTGATGATGATGACACTGCAGTGCTTCTTGCAGAACCAGAAAAAATTAAAAAAGAAAGAGCTGAAGGGCAAGCCAGGAAGGAACAAGAACAAAAAGCAGAAGAAGAAAGGATTCGTATGGAAGACATTCCAAGTGGAAACTCTTTCCTTAATCTCACTGGCCCATCCCAGCCTCAGGCAACTTCAGAGTTAAGAGAAGGTGGGATGATGATGTTGTTTCCAAGGCCTGTGCAAAAGGCATGGAGGACCAGAAGAAAGACAAAAGATTTGTCAATGATACACTATGATCTGAACTTCACAAAAAGTTTATGGGGAAATATATTAAACTAGAGGCCCTGTGCATGAAATTTGTGCACTGAGAGGGGGGGTGTCCCTCAGCCCAGCCTGCACTCTCTCCAATCTGGGGTCCCTCGGGGGATATCCGACCGCCGGTTTAGGCCTGATCCCAGGGACATCCCTGTAAACCAGCAGGCGGACATCCCTCTCACAATCCAGGACTGCTGGCTCCTAACCACTCGCCTTCCTGCCAGCCTGATCACCCCCTAACCACTCCCCTGCCAGCCAGATCGATGCCTAACTGCTCCCCTGCCAGCCCGATTGCTCCCAACTGCCCTCCCCTGCAGGCCTGGTTGCCCCCAACTGCCCTCCCCTGCCGGCCATCTTGTGGTGGCCATCTTGTGACCACATGGGGGCAACCATCTTTGACCACATGGGGGCAGCCATCTTGTGCAAGGGCATGATGGTCAATTTGCATATTACCTCTTTATTATATAGGATAGTACAGTTTTATGTGCTTAATTAAAGACTGTATAACATGCAATAAAAATAAAGTCACAAAATGCACGTGTCCTGACCGGTTGCTCAGTGGTTAGAGCATCAGCCTGCGCACCAATAGGTCCTGGGTTTGATTCCAGGTCAAAAGCACATTCCTGGGTTGCAGGTTCAATCACAGGCCCAGGTCAGGCATATTCCAGAGGCAATCAATCGATGTGTCTCTCCCACCATCTCTCTCGTGCTCCCTCTCTCCCTCTCGTCCTCTCGCTTCCACCCCGCTCCCCCATCCCTCCCACCATTGTTCTTGGATTCTAAAGAAATACCTGGAGTACTGGCTGTGAAAGACATAGGTTTGTTGGGACTTACGTGTGCACCGGTGGCAGTGGACCGGTGAACTTCACCGGCCAATCCGCAGTTGGGCAGCACCAGCTGCGGCCAGCCGGTGCGATTGTTTCTCTGTCACCCAGCCTTTCCCAGCACAAGGTTCTACAGAGTACGGAAAACAGCGCGTGCAGCGGGAGGGGATGTCATGAGATCAAAACACGAGCTGTTTACAATCCAGGCTCACATCTAGAAGCAGTTTCTCTGTGGCCTTTCTTGCTGGCCGGGTCCCAAGGTCTCCCGGTCCCCTCACAGACGGCTTTCACTATTATTCCCATGGGGGAGGGGCGCTGGCACATGGGAAGGGGCCATGTTCCCATTTACCATACACTCGGATACATGGGACAGACGGACAAACGTCAGAGGAAGGGGTTGTAGGGGGGGCGCATAAAGGCGAAAGGATTAGCTAAGGAACATATATGCACAGTCCTCTGTAAGCAGACTTAGCAGTAAACGTAGGATGATGCTCAATCAACTGAGCCACACTGGCCAGGTCTCATGAAGTTTAAACAATTTTTTTAATTGATTTCAGAGAGGAAGGGAGAGGGAGAAAGAGATGGAAATATCCATGATAAGAGAGAATTATTACTTGGCTGCCTCTTACACTCCCCCCTACTGGGGATTGAGCCTGCAACCTGGGCATGTGCCCCAACCAGGAATCGAACCGTGACCTTCTGGTTCTTAGGTAGACACTCAACCTCCAAGCTACACTGGCTGGGCCAGGATATACTTTTGATCGCACCAACTCCTCTTAGGGGTACATGGCCAAGGTGGAGAAAGACAAAAGCTCACTGTTATGGCTGCTCTGCTGGGCAGAGGGCCCTGGGCTTGGAGTCAGACACTCCTGGGTTCCAGGCCTGCTCCATGGGCCGAGCCAACTTCCTCTCTTTCTACTTCCCTCTATAAAATGAGGCTAATATATCCCACTTGGGTTCTGATGGTTAAATGAGGCACATATGATACAAAATATGTAAAAATACCTTGTGAAGTGCAAGTCAAAACATTCCCATATGCCCCTCAAATAATTACCCTGCAAGTTCCTTAGCATTTTTCCATGTACCTACAACAAAGCACCCGTGTGCTGTGTAAATTATGCTGAGTGCTCCAAAGGTAGAAGGCTTATAGACCTCAGCTTTCCATACTTGACACAAATGAAATGCTCAGCAAACCATTGAACAAAAGGTTTATGAATTAAAAAGTTGTGGGCAGTTGTTTTAACAGAAACATAACCTTTGAGGAAAGAGTGAAGAAATAAAATGAGTCAGTATAGTCAGGCTGACTATTTAGGCTAAATTCCTAAAATCAAGTAGGCTGAGGCAGGAGGAAATAGTTCTATTCTTGCTTTAACTAGGTGAGGACTTACACTTAAAAAAATGTTATTGATTTTAGAGAGAGAAAGGGAGAGAGATTGATGTGAGGTCAAAATATCAATAAGCTCTTTCCAGCGCCCCCCCCCCCCCTCCCGGGGATTGAGCCCACAACCTGGACATGTGCCCTGACGGGAATCAAACCGTGACCTCCTGGTTCATGTGTCATCGCTCAACCTCTGAGCCACACCAATCGGGCTCATAAAGTTTATTTTTACTCTTTTTATTTTTTTTTGCTCCAAGGCAGTATGTTTGCTGTATAAAATCAAAACAATACAGAAATTAGGCCCCATCATCCCATTCCCCTGAGTTAACATATTCTTCCAGACTTTTACCAGAGCCTTTTAAAAATATTTATTTATTTTAACAATACAAAAGTTAAATGGAACAAAAAAATCTATCCAGGTCAGCTGTTTGGTAGGTATCCCAATGACAGGTTATCAGTGGATGTAGCAAGAAATGCTAATTAGATGATCAGGGTTTTTTGTTTGTCTTTTAAAAAACCAGTTCAGGGATTGATCTCTGCATTCTTTCAGCATTTGAGAGGCTGTGGTTGAGTCTCCGGATGAGGCAATGGAACTGGCTCCGTGGAGACCAGAAGCCACACTGTCCTTGCTCTGCAGTCAGTCCCCCTGAGCACCCACGTGGCCCTGAGGCCGCTTGGAAAAGGAGGCAGGGGACCCCAACACAAATGCCATTTCCCAGGCATCAGATCGGCAAAAATGGAAAAGCCTGACAAAGCCAAGTGTGGGGGAGGTTGTGGAGAAGACACAGGACTTCTTCCAACTGGTGGCAATGGGAACGGTGCAGCTGCCGGGGAGAATTGTCGGACGAGAGCGCCGGAGGCCGTGTGTCGTCAGCGTGTGTCTGAGTTGCCTGGAGACCTCGAGACCGTCCTCAGCAATGCCTGTCTCGGTCAGTGTGTACAGAGCTCACGTGTGGTGTATGCAGACGTCTTCGCCCGTTCGGGCTGCTGCCCAAAATACCACAGACCAGATGGTTTATAAACAACAGACAGTTCTTTCTCCCTGTTCCAGAGGCTGCACGTCTGAGATCGAGCCCCAGCGTAGTTACTGGGGAACTCGGGGCCCAGGCACCAAAGCTCTACTATTTTGGAGAAGAGTTTTCAGAGACCCAATGTCGGTACCAGCAGCTCTCTGTAACTGTGGTTTGAGAGGCCACAAACTCCAGTCTTTCAGTGACGTTTAGCAAATTAAGAGTGAAAGCTGAATTTTTGGAAGGTTTTGATACTCTATATCTTGGCGTATCCCTATAAAAGGCATATTTGTCTAAAAATTGAAATCCATATAAATGTCCAGGAGGAAATGTTCCCGGGAAGCCCCGGGTGGGCTCGGCTGCCTGCCGCTGTGTCCAATAACGAAGGCGGGGTTGAATCTTGTAAGGTGTTTATTGGAAGGCCAGCCAACCAGGAAGACAGGGAGCTTACAAGCATCCAAAACCTGTTTTATGGCAAGGTGCAGGGGACAGGATTATAAAGGGGGAAGGGCGAGGGTGAGGCTGGAAATGGAATGCGGCTACAGGCAGCCCTGGATGTCCGCAGAATTCAGCTACTGTTCTTGGTCGGCAGGTGATGAGAGGATGTCTGGACTCCTGGTGGGGTCGGCCTGACCACGCGTGATGGTTCTGCTTGCTGGGTACATTGTACACTGTCCACAGCTGAGCCACCTCCTCAATCACTTTGCCTGGGATCAAAGGGAGTAGCAGGTGCACCGGCCTAAGAAATGAAACTCAATAAAACTTGACCCTCTGTTCCCATAAGTATATGTATTCTAGGATTTAAAATTAATACGCTCTGGCTGGTTTGGTTCAGTGCATAGAGCGTCGGCCTGCAGACTGAATGATCCTGGGTTTGATTTCATTTAGGGGCACATGTTGGGGTTGCGGGCTCAATCCCCAGTGGGGGGCGTGCAGGAGGCAGCTGATCAGTGGTTCTCTCTCATCATTGATGTTTCTCTCTCTCTCTCTCCCTTCCTCTCTGAAATAAATAAAAATATATTAAAAGTAAATAAAATAATGCTTATTTTTCAGATTAGTTCAGGTGCTCTATCTATCAGATTATAAATCCTCCCCCCCCATCAGAAACAACAGCTAATCCCAGGCCCACCCTCCTGTGGAATATTACAGAAACTGACAAGAGGGCGCAATCACATGCACCAACATGGAAGGGCGGCCAGGAGATGGAATGAACGACCAAAAGCAAGTTTCAGCAGAGGCTGAAAGTAAGTTCCCCAAAGTGGGATTGCTGGGTTAAAGGATGGGAGCGCAGTGTGGTTGAGCATCAACCTATGAACCAGGAGGTTACAGTTTTTAAAAATATATATATTTTATTGATTTTTTACAGAGAGGAAGGGAGAGGGATAGAGAGTTAGAAACATCGATCAGCTGCCTCCTGCACACCTCCTACTGGGGATGTGCCCGCAACCAAGGTACATGCCCCTGACCAGAATCGAACCTGGGACCCTTTAGTCTGCAGGCTGACGCTCTATCCACTGAGCCAAACTGGTTAGGGCGAGGTCGCAGTTTGATTCCAGGTCAGGGCACATGCCCAGGATGCTGGCTGGATCCCCAGTGGGGGCCGTGCAGGAGGCTGCCAATCACTGATTCTCTCTCATCATTGATGTTTCTATCTCTCTCTCCCTCTCCCTTCCTTTCGGAAATCAATAAAAATATATTTTTAACAAAAGATGGGAGTGCATACACCCATTAGGGGGGCTATCATCTCGGCAAGGATGCGGAGAATCTGAAACCCTGTGCACTGTTGGTGGGAATGCACAATGGTGCAGCTGCTGTGGAAAATGGTGTGGTGGTTCCTCAAAACGTTGAGCATGCAATTACCATACGACACAGCAATTCCATTCCTAGGGATCCAACCAAAGCATTGAAAGCAGGGACATGAACAGCTACTTGCACACCCATGTTCACAGGAGCATTATTCACAATAGCCAAGAGGGGAAACAACCCTAGCGCCCCTCGATCGATGATGGATGAACAGATAACAAAACATGAGTAATCCATACAATAGAATATTATTCAGCCTTAACAAGGAAGGAAGTTCTGACCCTGCTACAACATGGGTGAACCTGGAGGACATGATGCCGAGTGAAATAAGGACAAATACCGTACGACTCCACTTATAGGAGGGATTAGAGGAGTCAGACTCATAGAGACGGGAAGTAGATGGTGGGTGCCAGGGGCTGAAGGAGGGGAACTGGGCGTTAGTGTTTAACAAGGGGACAGGGTTTCAGATTTACAAGATGAAAGAAGTTCTGGAGGTGGGTGTGTGAATGTGATTATACCTAATGCCACAGAACTGGACCGTTAAAAGTAGTAAACTTCATGTTGTATGAGGAGCATTTGAGGTCTTGCTCCCCAGCATATGTTGTCAGCTTGGCTCAAATAAACTCTTACAGAGCTTCAAAAAAATTTTCAATATATTATGTGTATTCCCCGAACAGTGTGTGTGTGTGTGTGTGTGAGCGCAATTGTCATTTTGGTTAGTATTGCCATTTCCCCATCGGAGTCAGCCCATTGGTCCCTCCACCAGCAGTGTATGTGACTGCCAGTTGTCCCAGAGCCCTTACCACTGACACTGTTATCAAGCTTTTGGATTTCGCCAACATGATAGTTGAAAAATGGTGGCTCCCTCTATGTGTTGTTGTCTTTTAGAGAGAGGAAGGGAGGGGAGAGAAAGAGAGAGAGATTTGTTGTTACACTTATTTGTGCACCCAGTGGTTGTTTCCCATATGACCAGGGATCGAACCCACAACCTTGGCGTATCCAGATGATGCTCTAACCAACTGAGCCACAGGCAGGGCCGCTCCCTGTAGTTTCCATTTGCATTTCTTTTGTGAGTGAGGCTGAGCATCTTCTCAGAGGTTTAAAGGCCATTTGTATTTTGGGGTCTGTTTTCATTTTGCTTCCTGGGAAGTGATCATATCCTTTGCTCTTTTCCTCTTTGGCTGTTCATCGTTATTTACTGCTGAGAACTCTTCATATTAGCATGTTAGGCTTTTCCCTGTGGCCTGAGTTGTAAATATTTTCCCCAGTTAGTTACTGATTTTGGCCACGAAAAGTTTATTTCTATGTAGTTGAATTTATCAACAATTTATCTTCTAGTTTTAGAGCCATCGTTAGAAAAGTTTAGAAAGAGATTTTCCCAAAGTTTCTTCAAATAATTGTATGATTTCCCATCCCCCCTCTAAGCTTTGTGTTAAAATACATGTAAAACTTACCATCTTAACCACTTTTAAGCGGCCAGTTCAGTGGCGTTGAGCAGGTCCCATTGTTGTGGAACTGTCTCCACCACCATCTCCAGGACGCCTTCACCTTGCAAAACTGAAACCCTGTCCCCATCAAACATGAACTTCCACCTGCCCCCGGCACCCACACTCAACTTCTTATCTCAATGAACTCGACTCCTCCAGGAACCTCCTGTGAGTGGTCTCTTATAGTGTTTTGTCCTTTTGTGTCAGTTTTTATGCCAGTTATCCTCAATAAAGCTTTCTTTCTTTTTTTTCCAGCAAAGCAAGCAAGGATTTATTGACTGAAGCAAAAACACACTTAGGACAGTGAAACAAGGAAGGGCATAGAAGAAGCAACAGGAGAGCCTGGGCTGCGCTGGCTCCCTGGGAGTCAGAGAAAAGGGGGCCTTGCAGACGGGGTCAGGGGTTAGCCTCGGTTGAGCTGCCACTGTCCATTGCTCCCCTGGTTGCAAGTCTCCTGGGGTCCCTTGGAGTTTAGGAGATACGTGCCCTAGCCGGTTTGGCTCAGTGGATGGAGTGTCTGCCTGCGGACTGAAGGGTCCCAGGTTTGATTCTGGTCAAGGGCATGTACCTAGGTTGCAAGCTCGATCCCGGGCCCTGGTTGGGTGCATGCAGGAGGCAACCAATCAATGTGTCTCTTTCATCATTGATGCTTCTATCTCTCTCCCTCTTTCTTTCTGTCTGAGATCAATAAAAAAAATTTTTTTTTTAAAAAAAGGAGATACGTGCCTGTGGGGGAAAGAGAGGGAGAAGGGAATGGGACAGGCGTGCTTCCTGCAGGGAGAGCACCGAAGCTGTTTTTAAACATATTAGGTTTACAGAAACAAATGAGCACATAGTACAGAATGTCCCCATATCCCCCCTCCCCATCCCCTAGTTTCCCTGTTATTAGCATCTTAGTTCAGTGGGGAACATTTGTTACAATTGAGCCAATATCGATACATGATTATTACCTAAATTCCACAGTTTACATAGGGTTGAGTTTCTGTGTAGAGAGAGTGGGTTTGGACAATTGTATGACATATATGCACCATTACAGTCCTGTACAGAATCGTTTTACTGGTCTAAAAACCCTGTGCTTCACCTATTCATCCTTCCCCATCCCAACCCCTGGCAATCACTGATCTTACTGTCTCCATAGTTTTTCCTTCTCCAAAATGTCTTATAGTTGGAATCAAACAGTATGTAGCCTTTTCAGACTGGCTTCTTCTACCCAGCAACGTGCATTTAAGGTTCCTGCATACCTTTTCATGGCATGAGAGCACAGTTTTTAAAATCACTAAAGCCCTGCCTGGGTGGCTCAGATGGTTGGAGTGTCGTCCTGTCCATCAAAAGGTTTCGGGTTCAATTCCCAGACAGAGCACATACCTAGGTTGTGGGTTTGATCCCCAGTCGGAGTGCATATGGGAGGCAACTGATCGATGTTTGTCTCTCTCTAAAAATCAATAAAAACATGTCCTCGGGCGAGGATTAAAAAGAAATCAATTTAAAAAATAAAATCACTAGGTATATATATATATTTTTTTAAATATATTTTTTTAATTGATTTTTTACAGAGAGGAAGGGAGAGAGATAGAGAGTTAGAAACATCGATCAGCTGCCTCCTGCACATCTCCTACTGGGGATGTGCCCGCAACCCAGGTACATGCCCTTGACCGGAATCGAACCTGGGACCTTTCAGTCTGCAGGCCAACGCTCTATCCACTGAGCCAAACCGGTTTCGGCGAAGTCACTAGGTATATTGCTTTAGTTGGATTACCACAGTTTGTTTCTCTACTCACCTATTGAAGGACATCTTGGTGTTATCAGTTGAGTTGGTGGGTTATGGGTGGCGGTGGAGCCTCACAGCCTGAGGAGTGTGTAGCCCGGGGTGACCACCAGAGGGTGCCAGATCTCCCCTTTCCTCTCAAATCCGGTGGGCCACTCCCCCATCTGTTCTAACCCACTGTTCCCTGCACTAGGGTTGATCTGGTCTTTGGAACTAGGATTGATATGGACGCAACTGTGGGAAAAGTTAAGATGGACTTGCTTCCTTTGGAATGAAATCCAGGATTCCTGACGAGATGTTTTCCTTGGACTTGATGGGTGTGTGTGTGAGAGGGAAGTTCTTGCTTCAGCATTTATGGAGCTTGTCCCGAATCTTGCCCCCAAAGAATTAACTCAAGCGCCAGCTGGGCCTTCCATCTGTAGAGACGAGCAGGGAGGAAAAGCAGACCCAAGTCCTGGTTTCCCATGAGTGTGATGCCACAACCTGTTGTGTTGGTCATTTGCATCTGGTTGGTGTGACGGCCCGCAGGAGGGACACACGTGTTGTCAGGCTCTGTATGTAGAGAAGGCATTGCCTGTTCCCCAATTACTGATCAATTTTTAAGAATGTGTTTATTAAGACACTTAGGATGCTAAGGAGTATGGATTTCTACCCACAGATAGGTTTTTAATTATTAATTCATGATGAATTATTACACACTGAATCCAATTCAGGGGAAAGAGAGCATTAAACCTCTTAAGAATTCTCATGGAAACTTGAGTGAAACTGGAACTCTTTTAACTCTTGTCATTCCTCATTTCCTGAACTCTCCCTCATCCTTTAAAAGAGCAATGAGCCCTGGCTGGTTTGGCTCAGTGGATAGAGCATCAGCCTGTGGACTGAAGGGTCCCAGGTTCGATTCCACTCAGGGGCACGTGCCTGGGTTGCGGGCTTGATCCCCAGTGGGGGTTGGGGTGTGTGCAGGAGGCAACCAATCAATGATTCTCTCTCATCATTGATGTTTCTATCTCTCTCTCCCTCTCTCTTCTTCTCTGAAATCAATAAAAATATATATTAAAAATAAATAAAAGGGAAATGACAATTCATTTTGGCGAGAGCAACCTGGACAAAGGTATATTGACCCTATAGGGGACTTTATAAAAACCCAGCTCTGGCCACACCCATGGTACTTGGGTTTCTCAGATCCTCATACAACATCTTGCCTAGATCACCACCCGCCTCCAGAAGCCACAGGGACCACGGATCAGAGAGGAGGCTGCTGGGGAACCCAGCTTGGGAGTCCAGGAGTCTCCAGCATAAGGAGGGGCATCCAGGCAGAGGCAACAGTGTGTGCTAAGACCACCAGTCATGCGACCTTGGCCGTGGTATAGAGATGGACTTGGTCCTAGGCAGTTGGGACGGGACATGTATTTTGTAAAAATTAATAGCCTTTATTTTTTTGGAACAGTTTTAGGTTTATAGAAAAATTAAGCAGTAAGCATAGAGTTGCCATACTTCTCCCCACCATAATTTCTCCACTATTAACATGCATTGGTGTGGTGAATTTGTGATAAGAATGAGACAAAATTGATACATTACTATTATTAACTGAAGCCCATAATTTACAGTAGGGTTCACTCTGAGTGCTATACAGTTCTATGGGTTTTGACACACGTATAGTGACAAGCATCCACCATCGCGGCACCACAGGACAGTTCCACTGCCCTAGGTCTTCTGGGCTCCACCCATTCCTCCCTCATCCCCAAACTCCTAGAAAATACTGATTTAAAAAATATATTTTTTAATTGATTTCAGAGAGGAAGGGAGAGGGAGAGATAGAAACATCAATGATGAGAGAGAATCATCAATCAGCTGCCTCCTGCACTCCCCCCACTGGGGATAGAGCCCACAACCTGGCATGTGCCCTGACTAGGAATCAAACCGTGACCTCCTGGTTCATAGGTCAACACTCAACCACTGAGCCACACCAGGTGGACAATACTGATCTTTTATAGTCTTCATAGTTTTGCCTTTTTCCAGGATGTCCTAAGGTTGGAATCATATAGTATACGGTGTTTTCAGGCTGCTTCTTTTGTTTGTTTGTTTGTTTGTTAATCCTCACCCAAGGATATTTTTTCCATCGATTTTTAGAGTGGAAGGGAGAGACAAGGGGAGAGAGAGAGAAAGAGAGAGGGATTGGCTGCCTCCCTCAGGCACCCCAACTGGGGCTGGGGATCAACTTGCCACCCAGGTACAAGCCCTTGACTGGGAATCTAACCTGAAACCCTGTGTGCACAGGCTGACACTCTAACCACTGGGCAAACCGGGCCAGAGCCAGGCTGCGTCTTTCAATAAGCAATTTGCATTTAAGGTTCCTCTATGTCTTCTCATGGTTTGGCAATCTTTTTTTAAAAAAATTTTTAAATATATTTTTTATTGATTTTTTACAGAGAGGAAGGGAGAGGGATAGAGAGTTAGAAACATTGATGAGAGAGATGGCGCAACGGTAGCGCGTCTGACTCCAGATCAGAAACATTGATGAGAGAGAAACACGGATCAGCTGCCTTCTGCACACCCCCTACTGGGGATGTGCCCGCAGCCAAGGTACATGCCCTTGACCGGAATCGAACCCGGGACCCTTGAGTCCGCAGGCCGACGCTCTATCCACTGAGCCAGACCGGTTGCAGTGGTTGGCTGGTTTGGCAATCTTATTTTTTCTTTCTATTTTTCACATATATTTTTAATTATGGTGAGATACACATAATATAAAATTTATAATCATAATCATTTTTAAGTGTCCAGGTCAATGGTATTAGGTGCATTCACATTGTGAGCGACCATCACCATCATCCATCTCCAGAACTCTTTTCATTTTCCCCAACTGAAACTTTGTCCCCATTAAAGATATCTCTTCCTTTTTTTTTCCAATCTAAGAAATTGTGATAGAATACACATATCATAAAATTTGCCATCTTAACCATTCTGGAGTGTACAGTTCAGTGGCATTAAGCACATTCACATAGCTGTGCAACCATTATCACCTACAGAACGTTGTCATCTTTTCAAACGAAACTCTGTCCCCATTAAACACTAAGTCCCCACCCCCCACCCCCAGCCCCCGGTGAGTCTGACTCTCCTAGAGACCGCATTTAAGTGGAATCACACAGTGCGACTGGCTTGTTTCACTAAGCGTAATATCCTCAAGCGTATGCATGTCATTACACTTGTCGGAATTTCCTTCCTTCCTAAAGCTGAATGATAAGTTGGGACTCACTCTGTCACATTGCTATTTGTCTTCTATATCCCTTAGGGCTTTTTTTATTCCTCATTCCCTGCATTACTGTTTTCTTTTGGGGTTACTTTATTGTAGTGCAACATTTAAATTCCTTTCTCATTTCCTTTAGTTCCTATTCTATAGCTATTTCCTTTGTGGTTACCGTGGGGATTACATTTAACATCCTAAAGCTACAACACTGTAATTTGGATTTATGCCAGCTTCATGTCAATAACAGATAAAAACTGTGTTTCTGTACATCTCTACCTCCACTCCTTTCAGTTTTGGGTTTAAAACATTTACATCTTTATACATTGTATGTTCAAAACAAGAAACAGTTACCTTTTTTCTTTATTGCTCCAGTCAACGACAGGGAAATTCTGAGGTCCAAGGGCTGGGGGTTAGGCAGGAGGCTGCCCTGCAGGCCGAGGAGGTGGTGGAGGGGCCCTATTTGACCTTCTTCTTGAGGCACAGGTGGTTGGTGTGTTCGCACTTGGGGCATTTGACTGCATAGGGGTGCGGATGGGCATAACACCTGCATCATATCATCTTGTTGCAGTTTTACTTCTGGGTGAGGTGGTGGAGGGAGGGCTCAAGCACCAGGTGTAGGATGGACTCTTTCTGAGTATTGTAGTCTGAGAGACCGTGGACATCCTCCAGCTATTTGTCTGCAAAAATCAGATGTTGCTGGTCAGGCGGGATGCCCTCCCTGTCTTGGATTTTAGCTTTGACACTCTCAGTGGTGCCACTGGGCTCAACCTCAAGGGGATGGTCTTACCCATCAGAGTTTTTTTTTTTAATATATTTTTTTATTGATTTCAGAGAGGAAGGGAGAGGAAGAGAGAGATAGAAACATCAATGATGAGGGAGAATCATTGATCAGCTGCCTCCTGCACGCTCTCCACTGGGGATCGAGCCCACAACCTGGGCATGTGCCCTTGGCCAGAATCAAACCTGGGACCCTTCAGTCCACAGGCCGACGCTCTATCCACTGAGCCGAACCGGCCAGTGCCCCATCAGAGTTTTCACAAAGATCTGCATCTCTGCATCTGCTGGGGACACTGCATGGTGCCTCACTGAAGAGCAAGAAACAATTCTTAAAATGTATTAGTCTCTTAAATTATGTATAAAATCATGAAGTTAAAACCAACATTACAATAACACTGGCTTTTAGACTAAGAAATCAGTTTTAAAAAATGTATTAATCTCTTAAATCATGTAGAAAACATAGAGTGGAGTTGCAAACTGTTGTTACAATAATGCTAGCTTTTACAACTGCCCATGTATTTACCTTTATTGAACCCTTTATTTCTCCTGTGGCTTTGAGTTACTGTCTTGTGTTCGTCCCTTCATTTCACCCTGCAGGATGCCTTGAGCGTATCTTGTAGACCTAGTGGTAGCAAACATTCTCAACATTTGCTTATATGGGAATGTCTTAATTTCTCTCTCACTTTTGAAGGACAGTTTTGCAAGATATAGGATTCCTGGTTGACAGTTTTTTTCATTTTGCACTCTGAAAATATCAGACCACTGCTTCTGGTCTCCACAGTTTCTGATGAGAAATCTGCTGATGATCTTGAGAGTCCTTTGTATGTGATGTGTTGCTTCTCATTTGTTGCCTTCAAGATTCTCTTTTTCTCTACCTTTTGACAACTTGATTATAATATGTCTTAGTGTAGGTTTCTTTGAGTTAATTCTACTTGGAGTTTATTGAGCATCTTGGATGTTTATATTCATGTCTTTAATCAAATTTGGAAATTTTCATCCATTATTTCTTCAAATATTTTCTGCCCCTTTCTCTCACTCTTCTCTGTCTGGAAAATTCCACAATGAGTATGTTAGTTCACTTGATGGTTTCCCACAAGTTCCTCAGGCTCTGTTCACTTTTCTTCTTTTTTTTTTTTCTGTTCCTCACACAGTAATTACTATTAATCCTATCTTCATTTTTGCTGATTTTTTCTTCTACCTGCTCTTTTTAGAATTCTTATCTCTTTATTGATATTTCCAACTTATTCACACAGGTAGTCTTGCTGTCCTGCTGTCCCCATCTTATAGGCAAGTGACAGGATCTAAATTCAGACTCAGGTAATTAGGTTCAAGCCCAAGGTCTTAAGCTTTGCTCCTCCTTGCCCTGGTAAGGGATTTTACACTAGTTCAACTCTGTGGTACATCGCATCCTGGAACTTCCTGGTTAGTTAGTGACCTGAGGAGATATAAGGCCCAGGGGGCAAGAGACCTCCCCATAAAGTGAGACCAGGCATCTTAACCTATCCAAAACAAAGCAAACAAACAAAAAACCCTCACAAAAACCTCTCTCTACTTTGTTCAGAAAGCAATTTAAGGGAAGTAAATTTCAGCACATACCACATTGAGGGATAAAAACAATTTGGTCTCCTTTTCTTCAGCCCTTAATACTTGCTAAATGCTTTCTAGGTGCCTGTGAGGGTAGCACAGATGATCTAGTAACCACCGAAGTCTTCACAGTAGCCTTTAACCCCCTCCTGATTCATCCTGAATTTCTTTTCCCTTGTCCATGCAGTTCCTAGCTCTTTTCAAACACAAGTACACAAAACATGGTCACACCTCAGTGCCTTTGCATTTGCTGTTTCTTCTACCCAAAAGCTGGTTTTGCCATATACCTGTGCAGTTTCTTCCCTTCATTCTGAGCTCTCCTCAGAATCACCTTATTGAAAAGGTGTTCCTTGACCACCCTGTTTGAGATCCCTCTCTAGCCTCTTGTCCTGCTTTGCCTTTTTTGCTGATACTCATTAATGTTTTCTCTGTCCATCTCCCACACTGGATGAAGGTCTGAAGGAGCAAGGATCTGCCTGTCTTCTTCACTACCACCTCTCCAGTGCCCAGCAGGTAGTACACACTCAATGTTATGGGCTGAATGCTTGTATCCTCCCCAAATGTATATGTTGAAATCCTAACCTGCAAGGTGATATTAGGAAGTGGGGATTTTGGGATATGATTATGAGAGTGGAGCTCTCATGAGTGGGATTAGATTTCTGTTATTATAAAGAAATCCCAGAGAACTCTCTTGCCCTCTCTTTCCATCACATGAGGACACAGTGAGATGTTCCTCTATAAACCAAGAACTGAACTCTCACCAGACACTAAATCTGCCGACACCTTGATCTTGTACTTCCCAGCCTCCAGAGCTGAGAGAAATAATTTTGTTGTTGATAAGCCACCCAGTTTATGGTATTCTGTTGAAGCAGCCTGAACAGACTAAGGTTGTCATTATTTGGAGTTAAATGCATGAGTTGACATCCTGCACGTTATGGTTTGCAGAGAGGGCATTGAGGTGACCTCAAATGACAGCCTGATTTGCTAATGGAAAATCCTGTCCAATCTTGAGCAATGAATGTCACTTACTGCATCCCAGGCATTCGATCCTGGTGGCCATAGATTATATTTAGGCTTCCTGCCATCTTATTGCTACTTTTTTTTTTTTTTTTTTTTTTTTTTTTTTTTTTTTTTTTTTTCGCAAAGAGTAGGCTTCTTAATTGTCTCTGCTTTTGAAACCAAAGCTTGGTGGCTGTTCCATTTAAGCATGTGGTCAAGGAAAGGTCCCTTCACCTGTTCAATTTCAGGCCATTGCTCCATGAAACTCGCCTCTGGAATGCTACTTTGCAAAAACAGTTGAGGCCCATTATGAGCTTTTCTGCTCTTAAAGCATTGTAAACGTGACTTACAGAGATGGAATTTGATTTGTTGGAGATTTAAAAAATGCACCAGGTCCTGGCTAGTGTGGCCCAGTTGGTTGGAGGGTCATCCCATCTACCAAAATGTGGTGGGTTCAATTCCCGGTCAGGACACTTACCTAGGTTGTGGGTTTGATCCTGTCGTGGCACATGGGGGAGGCAACTGATTGATGTGATGTTTCTCTCTTTCTCCCTTCCTCTCTCTAAAAAGAAAAAATCAATAAAAAAAGCACCAGTATCTTTTCCCTTCCTGGCTCTATCTTGGTCCCTGTGAGACCATGTTCTTGAAGGGCTGAAGGTGACATTGAGAGAGTATAATGTCACCATGGAGACGAGTGTGTCTGGTCCCTGTGCAACCATGTTCTTGGAGAGTTGGAGGTGACGTTGATAAGGTACGATGTTACTATGGAGATGACTGAGACTTGTTCTATGAACCATGTTCTTGAAGAGATGCAAATGATATTGATATAGTACAGTGTTACCATGGAAACAGCTCGGCCTGATTCTATTAGCTGCAATCATGGCAAAAAGATTGTGAAGAAATTAATATGCCAGCAGCTCCTAGGATATATGACTGCCAAAAAGTCTGTGGTAATTTGTGTTTCTACTGACAAATCAGTGAATGTCACCTGAAACCATTGTGAAGATGAAATATAAAAAACTGCCAAAAAGGAAGTCAGAAAGATCTTCTAGTCTACCCCCGTGTTGGAGATTTCTCCTGTATTAATAGCTGGATAAAGCAGAAATGTTTGCACTATTTGGTGTGAGTATACATGCGAAAGAAAACAAGTAAGGCAATGAACAAAATAAGCCCACCTTGAAACTTCATGCTCGGCCTACAAATCAAACTGTAGGAGTCAGAGCAGCTGGGGGTATGCCTCTATATGCTCTATGCCTAGATTTTTTTTTTTTTTTAGCAGAATTTTAGTTTTATTTCAGTGGGCTTACCAATTCATCTAATGAATTTTTTAAAAGGAAAATTTCTATTGCTATTCATGGCAGCCAACATCATTTGTTCTAATTAGAATATAACAGTGAAAACAGACACGATGACAGCTACTATAGAAACGGTATGGTGGTTAAAAATAGGATTTCCACCCTGGCAAGGTGGTTCAGTTCATTGGAGCGTCATTCTGTACACCAAAAGGTTGTGGGTTAGATTACGGGTCAGGGCACATACCTAGGTTGAGGGTTTCTATCTCTCTCTCCCTCTCCCTTCCTCTCTAAAATCAATAAAAATGTATTTAAAAAATTTACCATCATAACCATTTTAAGTGTCCAGTCCAATGGCATTAAGCACATTCACATTGTTCTGCAGCCATCACCACCGTCCATCTACAGAATTATTTTCATTTTGCAAATCTAAAAGTCTGTCCCCATTAAACACTAACTCCCCCTCCCCCAGCCCTGGGGATCCACCCTTCTACTGGCTGTCTCTGAATTTGACTCCTTTCAGGATCTCCTATAAGTGGAATCATATGGTGTTTGTTGTTTTGTGTTTGGCTTATCACTCAGCATAATGTCCTCAAAATTCATCTACGTTGTAGCATATGTCAGAATGTTCTTCCTTTCAAAGGCTGAATAATATTCCATTGTGTGGATATAGTCATTTTTTTATTCATTCATCTATTGTTGGACACTGGGGTTGTTTCCACCTCTTGCTATTGTGAATAATGCTGTTGTGAAAATTAATAAAGGAAACCTAAGATTGAATTAGGGGGGCGGCCTATAGGAGGGACCTTGCATCTCCAACAGGAAAATGTTTCCTATTCTACTACCCTAGCAAGAGGAAGGAAGATCTTCTCTTACCCTGGCAACAGCTTAGCCAATGAAAGCCACTACATTTCAAACTCCCAACTTCCCTCCATGGGCTTTGTTTATAACAGCTCCTCCCAAATAACCCTTTTTCTTTCTTTTTTTTTTTTTCATTCTGTACATCAGGTTATTTATTCACTTAATTCTTAGATTCACTTGTTGATAGATGCATATTTGTTGTTCATAATTTGTATCTTTACCTTTTTCTTCTTCTTCCTCTTCTTAAAGGATACCTTTCAGCATTTCATATAATACTGGTTTGGTGGTGATGAACTCCTTTAGCTTTTCCTTATCTGTGAAGCTCTTTATCTGACCTTCAATTCTGAATGATAGCTTTGCTGGATAAAGTAATCTTGGTTGTAGGTTCTTGCTTTTCATCACTTTGAATATTTCTTGCCACTCCCTTCTGGCCTGCAAAGTTTCTGTTGAGAAATCAGCTGACAGTCGTATGGGTATTCCCTTGTAGGTAACTGAGTTTCTTTCTCTTGCTGCTTTTAAGATTCTCTCTTTGTCTTTTGCTCTTGGCATTTTAATTATGATGTGTCTTGGTGTGGTCCTCTTTGGATTCCTTTTGTTTGGGGTTCTCTGCGCTTCCTGGACCTGTAAGTCTATTTCTTTCACCAGGTGGGGGAAGTTTTCTGTCATTATTTCTTCAAATAGGTTTTCAATATCTTGCTGTCTCTCATCTTCTGGTACCCCTATAATTCTGATGTTGGTACGTTTGAAACTGTCCCAGAGGCTCCTTACACTATCTTCGTATTTTTGGGTTCTTTTTTCATTTTGCTTTTCCGGTTGGGTGTTTCTCTCTTCTTCGCATTTCAAATCT